GAAACCAGCCTGGGCAACTTGAGGAGACCTCATCTCTACAATAAATCAAAAAATTAGCAGGGCATGGTAGCGTGTGCCTGTAGTTCCAGCTACTCGGAAGGCTGAGGAGGAAGGATCGCCGGAGCCCAGCAGGTCAAGGCTGCAGTGGCCATGAGCATGCCATTGCACTCCAGCTTGGGTGACAGAGTGACACCCCAACTCAAAAAAAAAAGATATTTTGAGACAGTTGGTGAAATTTGAATATTGACTGGGTATTAGATGATACCGTAGTTATTAATTTTTTGGGTGTGCCATGGCATTATGGTTTTATATGATGTTCATATTAAAGAATGAGGTGTGTGCTTAATAATGTAGGAGTGACTATCATGAGATCTGAGATTTGCTTTAAAGTACTTTAGCAAAGGAAAGGAAAAGAAAAAAGGAACAGAAAATACAAATGTGCCATCATTTTGATAACTGTTGAACCCTGATGTTGGGTACATGGGGTTCATTAAAATATTTTCTCTTCCTTTGGGTGTTTTTGAAAATGTCTAGACATAAACAATTAAGGGCCAGGCTCAGCCTGTAATCCCAGCACCACTGCACTCAGCCTGTAATCGTGGCTTAGCCTGTAATCCCAGCTCTTTGGGAGATTGAGGCAAGTGGATTGCCTGAGCCTGCGGCCTCGAGATTCACCCGGGCAACTTGGCAAGACTTCATCTCTACAATAAATCAAAAATAGACGGGTGTGGTGGAGCACGCCTGTAGTCCCGACTACTTGGAAGGCTGAAGCAGAAGGATCGCCGAAGCCCAGCAGGTCGAGGCTGCGGTGGCCAGGAGTGTGCCACTGCATTCCAGTCTGGGCGACAGAGTGAGACACCAACTCAAAAAGAAAGAAGATGTCCGCACATAAAAATTTAAGGGCCGGGCATGGTGGCTCACGCTTATAATCCCAGCAGTTTGGGAGGCCGAGGTGAGAGGATTCCTTGAGCCCACGGGTTCAAGACCAGCCTGGGCAACTTGGGGAGACCTCATCTCTACAATAAATCCAAAATTAGTTGGGTATGGTGGAGCGTACCGATAGTTCCAGCTACTCAGAAGGCTGAGGTGGAAGGCTCGCCTGAGCCCAGCAGGTCAAGGCTGTGGTGGCTGTGAGCATGCCACTTCACTCCAGCCTGGACAACAGAGTGAGATTCCAACTCAAAAGAAAAAAAATTAAGTATTGCCTTACTGATCACAAATCCCCGACAAAAATAAATTATTCTAGCTGGGCTCGGTGGCTCAGCCTGTAATCCCGCGCTTTGGGAGGCTGAGGTGAGGGGATTGCCTGAGCCCACGGGTTCAAGACCCGCCTGGGCAACTTGGCGAGACCTCATCTCTACAATAAATCAAAAATTAGCCAGGCGTGATAGCGCGTGCCTGTAGTTCCAGCTACTTGGAAGGCTGAGGTGGAAGGATCGCCAGAGCCCAGCAGGTCGAGGCTGGTGGCTGGGAGCATGCCACTGTACTCTAGTCTGGGTGACAGAGTGAGACTCCAACTCAAAAAAAAAATTATCCTATTTCTTGATATATTAAAATTATTCTATTTATCACATCAGATATAATAAATTATCCTAAAATTTCTTTTTCTGAGACAGAGTTTTGCTATGTCACCCAGACTGGAGTGCAGTGGTGCAATCTTGGCTCACCACAGCCTTGATCTTGTGGGCTCAGGTAATCCTCCCACCTCAACCTCCCAAAGTGCTGGGGTTACAGGTGTGAGTTAGCTTCATCCGACCTACCATAACATTTCTCAAAGAAGCAGTTGAAAGTAAAACAAACCTCCAACTGCAAATTATTATGACCTCATCCCAGTCTTTTTTTGAGTTGCAGTCTCACTCCGTCTTCCAGACTGGAGTGCAGTGGCATGCTTCTGGCCACTGCAGCCTGGACCTGCTGGGCTCCAGCAATCCTTCCACCTCAGTCTTCCAAGTAGCTGGAACCACAGATGTGCGCTACCACGCCCGGCTTATTTTTGATTTATTTGAGATGAGGTCTCGCCAAGTTGCCTGGGCAGCTGTCGAACCTGCGGGCTCAGACAATCCACTCGCCTTGGCCTCCCAAAGTGCTGGGATTATAGGCTGAGCCACCGAGCCCGGCCTTATCCCAGTCTTAACATCTCATCTAGGCTTGCATTTTCTTTCCACATTGGGCAAAGTTGAGGTCTTCTCACTCACCTGCAGGTTGCCCAGATTCTTTTCACAAGCATCTCTCAGGGTTATTTTCTCATATAATCAGCCATAGTAAGTGCTCACTTCCCTGCCAGGCCACCTGGGACAGGCTTCCCATCTGCATTTTACACACTTGTTTTGTTTCACGGAGGACACCATCCCACCCCATCTTAGAAATATAAAACAGAGCAGGTGTTTTGTTTTTTTTTGTCAGTCTTACTCTGTCACCCAGGCTGTAGTGCAGTGGCATGCTCAAAGTCACCTCAGCATTGACCTCCTGGGCTCTGGCAATCCTTCTGCCTCAGCCTTCTAAGTGGCACGTGCTACCATGCCCAGCTAAATTTTTTGATTTATCGTAGAGACAAGTTCTCACCAAGTTGCCCAGGTTGGTCTCGAACCTGCGGGCTCAGGCAATCCACTCTCCTTGGCCTACTGAAGTGCTGAGATTACAGGCTGAGCCACCGAGCCCAGCCCAGAGCAGGTTTTAAAATGTTATGAAGCCCCCTCCTACCTCTCATTACACCCATGAAGATCAACTGTTTTTCTGTGGTAAGAGGGAATGTCAAAGGGAAAAGAGGACTTGATTTACCAATGTCATATTTTCATGGGGAATAAGCACACAACTCTGTACCCCAAACTCATTCCCAGCCTCAAGTATACTTGAAGAAAAGACATGAAGACGTGTATTGACAAAACCAGAGACTCTACAAATGTTCACTCTCCTTCATTAAAAATCTTAAATTACAAACATTTTGATTCATAAATAGTCAAGGGGGGTGGTGCACCTAGTTTCTTATCCTGAAACCAAATATCTTGTCCTCTGGGGATTTTCACCAGTTCTCTTCAAAGCCAGTATCTTCCCTCAGTCCTAAAGAGGAAGCTCAGCCTTCCCCATTCCCTGAGTTCACATTTATCCAATTCTATGGGCCCACGAGCCCTGCCTAAGACAGGATCAATCAATGTCCTGGGAGGGCAGAAAGGGTAGGGAGTCACACCTGGCCATGTGAAAAGAAAGTGCTTCCAGGTGAGGGCAGAACTTCCTGTGTGGGAGTGGAAGCCAGGCTTTTAGTCCTAAACGAAGTGATTTCCCTGGCAAAGAGAAGCTGATTTTACAAAAGGCTAGAATCTACAGGGAGATGGAACTGTCTTTTAGGCACTCCAGCAGACCCTCTACAGACCTGGGGTCCTGAAGGCTGAGTCCAGGGCCTGCTACCCTGGTGGCAGGAGCACAGCTCACAGCGTCCCATAGACACTGACTTTGGCCACGGAGATGCTCTCTGTGTAGCGGTTCCGGCCTTTCTCATACAGAACGTAGAGCTGGGGGGTCTGCTCCTTGCCGTCCATGCTGCCCTCCACGGCTGCCAGTGACGAGTAGCCACTAGGCCCTGGCCATAGCTGGACCGTTTCTTTTCGCCATGAGGTACCATTGCTGAAGCTCCAGCGCAGGGTCAGGTTCACTCCTGGGGAGAGCAGGAGAGTCAGGGAAGGAGGGTCTGTGCCCAGGCCTTGTCTAGACACAGGGACTCCCATTGATGACCCCACCCATCAGGCACTCACGGAACTCTGGATGAGCTGGGTTGGAGAAGAAAACAATGCCGGAACTGGTGGCTACAGCCCCTGCAGCTACCACAGGGTCTATGAGCTCAGGGTCAAAGGTCACATCACGGGGCCTTAGTGTATCACAAGCATCATAGCTGCGGAGGACGATCCGGCAATGGCAGTGGTAATTGTTCTGGTTCCGAGCATTGATGACGACTGAGCCATCTGGGAGCTCATAGGGCTGAGGGGAGAGAACAGGACCTTAGGGAAGGAGCAGGGCAAATACTCATGTTCCTGAGGGGAGCAAGCCTGGGTGGGCAGCCAGACCCTGGGGTTGTGGGTGAAATGGTGCTTTGGAGGACAGGGCAGGTCAAGTGGGTGGAGAACATTTCACGGACTCCTGACCTGGCATTCATCAGGGTTGAAATCATTTTCTCGCTTGGGCTGACCATAGGGAATGCCGCTGACCCCACTCCCGTAGCGCCAGGAGGCACCGTGGTCATCGCTGAGGAGACAGAAGACACCATCCCGCTCCAGTGTCCCATGGCCACAAACGATGAGACGGCCCTTCTGTGGCTCCCGCTGTTTCTGTGGGGAAGGTGAGCTGGGTGTCACAGAGGGAGAGACTTGGGACTCAGAGGCAGGGACTGGGAACCTATCACCTCCCAAGTGTGAGGACACATCTGGTTCCCTTCAGTTTTTCCCTTGCTAACTGGGGGTTCCATATTGATCTCAAAAACATAAACTGCCTGAATTAAGAAGCTCTTTTAGGGTGTACAATGGACAGGTTGTGCACTGGAGGCCACAGCCACAGGGTGCATGAGAGCTTAAATCCAACCTGTGTTCACTCATCAAGCTGTACATCCCAGCACAGGCCTGAATCTACCCAAAGCAAGGGGTACCCTTTTTCCACTTTGTACGAAGGACTAGTACAATCCTTTTGACAACCCCCAAATGGGAAGCCAATGGCAAAGTTCCCTCTTCCCCGGTAAGATGTTCCTCCCAAGATGTCCCTCCCTCTCTTCCTTCCTTCTTTTCTTTTAGTTGAAATCTCACTCTGTTGCCCAGGGCTGGAGTACAGTGGCACACTCAGAGCTGATCCTTTTTTTTTTTTTTTGAGTTGGAGTCTCACTCTGTCACCCAGACTAGAGTGCAGTGGCCGCTCCTGGCCACCGCAGCCTCGACCTGCTGGGTTCTGGCGATCCTTCCGCCTCAGCCTTCCAAGTAGCTGGAACTACAGGCATGCGCTACCACGCCCGGCTAATTTTTTGATTTATTGTAGAGATGAGATCTCGCCAAATTGCCCAGGCGGGTCTTGAACCCGCGGGCTCAGACAATCCACTCACCTCAGCCTCCCAAAGGCACGGGATTACAGGCTGAACCACCGAGCCAGCTTACAGCTGATCCTTTTACCTCAGCCTTCCAAATAGCTGGAATGACAAGCATGTGCCACCACACCCAGCTAATTTTTTGATTTATTGCAGAGACGAGGTCTCACCAAGTTGCCCAGGCTGGTCTCGGACCCCTGGGCTCAGGCAATCCTCTCGCCTCCACCTTCCAAACTGCTGGGATTACAGGCGTGAGCCACTGCATCCAGTACCACTGCATCCCACCCAAGACAGAAAATCTGACTTCACATGATCTTCCCCTTGGGAAGGAGTCCATTTTTGGGACATCCCCTAGACTCTCCAGAAGGCAGCCTCCACCTGAATGCCAGAGCCTGGTCCAGGGGCGAACACTTCAGTGCCAATATCCAGGGAGAGATTCCGGGGTGGGCTCCAGGAAACGCCATCATCCTTGCTCCATATCAACATGGTGGAGGCCACCTGGCAGCCAGCCTTGTGAGCACAGAGGGAGTAGAAAAGAAATACCACTCCTGTCTCGACATCGCTCACCACTGCCCCCAGGTTCAGCCCATCAGGGATTTCCCCGTCATCTACAATAAATGCTGTAGGGGACCATGTGCTGCCTGAAAAAAAAGGGGGGGGGGAATCCAGAGTGAGCACTATGTTGGAATCCTTTACTGCTATTAATTTCTTACCTCCTGCTAGAGACCCTGAGGCCTTATATTGGCTTCAGGATGCAATCAAACATCGGCACTCCCTATATCTCTTGCTCTATTTTATTTTTCAACATTGCATTGATCACCTTCCAACACAAAATCTAGTTTACTTATTTGTTATACTTGTCTGTCTCCTCCCAATAGAATCTAAGTCTTGTGAGGGCAGAAATTTTTGGTCTGTTTTGTTCATGGCTGTATTAAAAGAACCTAGGACAGTGCCTCATATATAGTAGGTACTCAATAAATGTTTACTTAATATTCAGCTCCTTGGTGATCTAAATTTCCAGATCACTACCCTAGATACTTTCCCTCCTTAGATCCCCCTTACCCTTCGGTGACCCAGGTGTCCAGCTGTTCAAGTTCCCCTATACTCAGGGCCTACCAGCGGGTTGGGCTTCCCGCCCATTCAAACTAGCACCAGCTCTTTCACCCAAGAGTTTTATACCCTGGTCCATGGACCTCCGCAGGGCAATGAACTTGGCCCCCTCATCAGAAGAGGACATTTTTCTGGCCTCGGCAAAGGCGAGGAGCGTGCCCCGAGGAGTGGCTGTGACGAGCGGGATGCGGAAGGTGTCCACTGAGCCGATCTGCCTCCCGCTCACCCACAGTAGTTGCTCCATGGTCACCAGCGGCTGCACCTGCCACGGAAGGAGGGAGGGTCAACGAGCACAAACTTGTCTTGGGGTTTTAGGACCGGTGGATATCGTCTGGAACTCAGTCAGGTTCCGGTGGGGGAGGAAGGGTAATGGGGATCCCGAGCAGGAGCGAGGGTCCCGGAGCAAGAAAGGGGAACCCGAAAGAGTTTGAAGCCAAGCTGGCGGTTCAGAGCCACGGAGGCGTTACGAGGGTAAAAGGAGTCCTCAGGGAGGGAAGGAGCTCGAGTGGGGAGGAGAACCGGGGTCCAGAAGAAGGAGAGGAGCTGGGAGTGGATGGAGGAAAAGGGTTCCGGGAGAAGGGAGAGTGCTGCTGCAGAAAGGTGGCTCAGCCGCCGCCTCCCCGGGGACACCGGGCATGGACCACCCACGTGGTTCGGGGATGGGGCTAGGAGGCAGTGGCTCACCAGACCGAAGTCGTTCTCAGCCCTAGCCCCGAATTCTGTCAGAGACAGCAGCAGCAGCAGGAGGATCACGGCAAACACCTGAGTCCTGCAGCGTCCCCAGAAGCCCAGCGTCTGCGGCTCCCAGGGTCTGCCCCGGGGTGCTGCGCCGGGTCGCTTCCCAGTCATCTTTGCTTGGGACTGCGGCGACCCCGGCCGCTAGACTACACAGGTTCGGGAGTCGGTCAGCTGACTCGGACCCTTTAAGGCTCAGATGTCACCCTTAAACCCGCCTCTCTGCACCTCCGCGACTCTGATTGGTCCTCAGGCATCCCACCTCCTCCTACGTTTCCACGCAGTGCCTCGGAGTTCGCTCTTCCAATTGGCCTTCTTGGAAGCCCTGAGCGCGTGACCCAGGCCGGAAGCGCAATGGCTGGGGTGGAGCTGGGGCTGGCAGTATCCGTATGAGCCATTGATTGGCTGCGGCACGGGGACGCGGTACGGGGGCGGGGCCTACTTTAAAGAGCCCGGCGGGGGAGAAAAAGGCAGCGTGTCGTCGGGGAGGGACGAGTCACAGACTTGAGAAAACAAAATATCAATCTTTAATAAAATCTTTTAACTACAGAATTGAAATTTGTAAGGCGAAATAAGGCTGGACGGCTGTGCAGGCGGGATACAATCCCGGATCAGGGCCGGGTCTCTCACTTCTTTCTTTTCTTGTTCCCCGAGGGCGACTCATTCTTCTTGCCCAGGATCTTCAGAAGGCCCTTGGACATGTAGTAGGGCCGGTCGAGGGAGCCGTCGTTCCGCTCCAGGTCTTCCACTGAGCAGCAAAACAGACCGGTTGGAGGGGACCCTGGGGCCAGCCTCACTCCCCAGGAAATCAGGGACTGAGAGGTGCATTCAGGCTGCACCGCCACTGGCTGGATTCCAACCCCCAGGGCAGGTTGTGTAATCTCAGTTTCCTCTTGTAAAGGGGGATCGGTAATACTATATTTCACAGAGTAACGATAAGGTTTAAAGTGGAAAATGCAAGTCAGCCACTTAGGCACAGCCGGCACATATGAAACCCTGAATGGAGGTACACAGTAGGAAAAGAACATTCCCTCTCACTACAGCCACCTGCTGGGAAGTCTGTCGTGGCTAACTTCTACTCTAGATTTCCTAGAAGAAAGCTGCTGAGGCCGCTCCCCAGGAATGTCCTTCTTTCCAGAGCCAAGCCCCTGGCCTTAGGATGTCACAAGAAGCTCCCTCTGGCTATTTTTTTAGCTCTCAAAGTGGGTTTCTAGAAGCATCAAATCTCAAAAAATGTCTGAACAATCCAGTACTTTTTGGGGGGAGGTGGCGGGGGTGTCACTCACAGAAACAGAGGAAGAGTGTGTCCACACACATGCCAAACACGCTGAAGAAGCCACTGGCGATGACATAAGCCCCCAGGATGGTGGTCTGAAAAACACAAGGCCTGTTAGGGCTTCTGGGTTCCTTTGGGGGAGTTGAGGGATGAGGCAGAGAGGGGAATCACTCACCATGATGGGCAGCCAGTAATAGTTGAGATGAGGGCTCTCAAAGTTTTTACCCAGTCCCTGGATGCGACCAGAGAAAAAAAAGAAGGACAGGACCCCTGTGGGAGAGTTCTGGAGGTCAGTTCTGGTCCTCTAAGGCCATCTCTCCAGCTGCCTGGCACCCCTACCCTCTAGCCCGACAAACCCTGACCCGGGCCCTACCGACGCCTCCAACCACCAGCAGCTTCCCGAAGAGCAGCAGCAGGTCTGTGACTTTATCCAGGACAACCACCCTGCACCGGAAATTAGGGCAGGTTAGGAGTGAGAGGCCTGGCTGGGCGGGGAGCAGAACTGGCTACGTAATTTGTAGGGACCAGTGCAAAAATTGTTCACATTTCAAGATGCGATAGCAGAGCATTAAACCAAGTGTGGAGCCCTGCTGAGCACGGCATGCCCATGAAGCCCACCTTGAGAGGGAGACCTAAGGGAAGCACATGGGGCTGGGGACCAGCCTCACCTGACAATGTTCCGCATGAGCAGCATGAAGGCATTTTTGGCAGAGACGCAGAAATTCTTCCCATAGATGGCGATCTGAGGGCAGCGCAAAGGTCAGAGTTAGCTGTGGAGAGCTTGCCTGGGACCAGGATGGGGGGGCCTGGGCCAAGGGGCACTGAGGAAGGGGTTGCTTGCACAGTGAGGCTCACCATGATGTATGCATTGCGGTTTAGGAACTTGATAAACTTTTCCAGACACCACAGGCAGCACTTGAAGCAGCACATGATGCAGCGGGCTAATGGGTTCTGCGCTTCTGGGGGCAAGGGAAGCTCATGTTTGGTCACTGGCCTGTGACAGCTCCTCCTCCAAGGGCCTTCCCCAGCTTCTGACTTTGATTCCAGACTCACCTCTCAGCTTGTGGTCAATGTACTCCAAGATGACCCGGGCTATCTGCACAAGTGTCAGGATGAGGGCTCCAAATGCCAGCGACCCGGTATGGTAACTGTAGAGGGAGTTAGGTAGTCAGAGGTAGCCCCAGGACCCCTGAGACCCCCATGCTTATAACCCCCAGGCCCCTGCCCCAGGCTTACCGAAGTGTGCGGATGAAGGCAGAGGTCAGGGGGAAGGCAGGGATGTCCCGGGGCTTGTGGAAGGCCCAGTAGAAGGAGGCAAAGGCTCCAGCCAGGACGCACTGACCCAGGGCCAGTACCCAGTTAAGGGTCCAGAAGAGCCCCAGGACCCCATAGATTTGCAGGTTGAAGAGAGAACGTTGTACTAGGCCTGTGGACAAGTAGCCCTGGAAGGCGCACGTCAGCCCTGGGCATGAGAAGTTCAAAGGTTGGGCCTGTGGGGGCAGCGGGGGATAGAGTAGGCTCAGGCCCAGTCTTCAGGGACCTCAGAGTGGAGCCTGGCCTTCGGTTCCCAGCTAGCTTCTGCCCCTCCAGAGCAGGGGAAAAAAGCAGCAGCCTCACTGAACTGGGAACCCAGTACCAGAAGTTCCATTTCCAGGCTCAAACTGGGTTCAGCCTGCCTATTGTGAACGTAATCAGGTCCCTTTAGTCTGGAGCATAAGAGACCCTCGGCCATCTGGGACCCACCTCCGCCCCACACTCACTCAGCAGTCCCCTCTCAGAGCAGCTTCTGCAACTTCTACCTACACCCTTTCTAGCATATTGAACAGGCAGGGGATTTAATGACATTAAGGAATTATTGTTAATTTTGTGGAGTGGGATAATTATATAATGGTTATGCTTTTTCTTTTCTTTTCTTTTTTTTTTTTTTTTAGTTCTCTTGCCTTGGCCTCCCAAAGTGCTAGGATTACAGGTGTGAGTCACTGTGCCTGGCCATGGGTATGCTTTTTAAAAGTTCTTATCTGTTGAGATCCTTCCCGATGTATTTTTTTTTTTTTTTTTTTTTTTTTTT